TGCTCAAGTAGACCGACAGCCAACAATGTGCTGTTTGACTGAATGGATCTATGAGGTCTAGGAAGGATCGTGAGACTAGGCGATACCTATTTTTAATCTCCACCTACGCACCCACGGAGTGTAGTTCGGATTGGATGATGCAAAGGGTGAATTCTATGAGAAGCTGTCAACATTGCTACAGATGCCCTATGGTGAGATATCCGGCAAGCTGTACTCGTCCAGTGATGTCCGTCATGGTTGCCCACTGTCTCCATTCTTATTCAGTTTCATCTTATTTTTATGGAGGTCTCCCTCTCGTCACCTGACTACTCAGAAGTTGACATAATCGCGGGAGAATTTTCGTTAGACCTAGAATACGCAGATGACATAGTCCTGTTAGGTGAAGACGCTGAACACGTTGAGTGGGAATTTGAGAATGTTTGGTATGCGATTTTCACCACCCAAATGCAAATTTTTGCTCCACGATTGGTCTTCAACAGTGCCTTGGCTAAGAATAGAGTGTAGTGGTTGAGTGTGTCGACCACTTCACTTACCTGGGAAGTAGGATCAGCCCTAGTGGCTCAGTGGTTGACGAAATTTCTGCACGGATACAAAAGGCTACGTTGGCTTTTGCCAACTTACGCCACCTGTGGCGCCGCCGTGATATCCAATTCCCTATTAACGTTCGCGTGTACTGCACAGCAGTCCACTCTATTCTACTGTATGACTGTGAAACATGGCCATTGAAGGTGGAAGACATGAGAAGGCTTCAGATGTTTGACCACCTTTGCCTTCGTAGTATAGGCCGTATTCCCTGGTGTCACCACGTGAGTGATGCAGAAGTCAAGTGTAGAGTTTTAGGGAGAAGAGGTAAATCAGTTGACACGGTTGTGGACCTTCATCGACTGAGACGGTTGGGATACGTGTTACGTATGCCTAGTCACCGATTGCCCTGCCACACAATGTTGGCGGTTCAAGCTGAAAAAAGGCCCGAGGCGGCCAGACTAAAACATGGCATCAGTGTATGAAGTCTTTGATTGTTGGTTTGAGCCATGTAGACAGATGCTGACTATTCGGTTAGGGCCCGCAGGACAAGAAAAACCAGTGGTTGGAGACTCCAGGTGGTGACTCAGAACCGATGTCAGTGGCGCAGACGTATACGCACATTATCCTCATCTTAACGCTTTGCCGAATCTCACCCATTTTCTCATTCTTCCTTTCTTTCTTTGCGTACTTTATACTTCTTTTGACTGAATTTTCTTTTTTTTCATCTTCCATTCCACTGACTTTTTACTTGATGTACTGATATGAGGACCGTTAATGCAGTAATACCCGGTCCCATGTTGATAGATGATGATGCTTTTGACCAGCATAAGGAGATGACAGTCACACATGGCGTCCACCGACCTCAAACCAATGATAGACACAGATAGATCATATTGTTATGAGTCATCATTGGAAAGGATTGGCGGAGGATTGTCGCCCTTTCCGTAGCACCTGTGAGAACTCCGATCAGGCGCTATTACAGTCTCGTATATCTGCATCTTACTGGCTGCAGGAAACAGGCGATAGTAAAGCATGTCTATGCCTGACTAGTAGATGAGAAGGCCAAGTACCTAGTTAGAGAGGAGTTAGCTAAGCACTTATCTGAACGTGACAGCAATGCTCATTCTGAGGAGACCTGGCTTGATATTAAGTCTACTGTAGAAACAACGGTAAACACACTTGGTAACCTACACATGGAGGTTAGCAAATGTAATTGGATTTCCGCGACGTCATCCGAACTGATTGATGTGAGAAGACTGGTTCCATCTGGCTTTGACCACGATGAAGACCGAAGGCAAATCCAACGTAAGTTGAAAGAGTCTTCGTGTCGGTCGCGAGCAGTGGTGGTGGGTGACAAAGGCAAGAGAGATGGAGAAGGCATCAGTGTTGATGAATACTTGGCAGTCATTTATAGGTATATTAAGGATACTGGCAAGAAGAGGATGGTGAGTGAAACTACCACCGATGAAGGATGGGATGCTGATAACCTCCTCGGAAAGACCACTAGAACGTTAGCCAGGATACTTTGAAGTATAGTTGAACTGGTTCTCGGCAACGCTTCTGTCGCTTAATATCTAGCCAGTCGGAACGTAGATTTCGGTTCTCTAACTCTGCTTGAAGTTGAGAAAGCTGAGTCGAACTTAAAACGATGGAAAGCAGCGGGACCTGATAGTTTGCCACTAGAAGTTTTGAATATTTACTACTACGATCAGGTGATACCAATTTAATAACCTTACTCGAGTCTTGTATACGTGTCTCAGAGACACAACATACATTCATGTCTAGAGATTCCAGAATTCTGGTGGCCAATACTTGCTGTACGATTAGGCATACAGTTAGGACGTTGTAAGCTCCTGCATGACGTCGATGGCAGGGTCTTAGGAGACTAGGAATGAAGTTTCGATTTCTATGATGGTTGACAATGGTTGCAGAGTGAGAGGTTGGGTAAGGTGTAAGAGGCTTGATATTAGTACTAGAAGGTGAAGCCGGAGGAGGAGACAGAGTTGAGGAGGATAGGTTGTATTTGATTGGGTTTTGTGTACTGCTGGAAGGGTGTGGGCGATTGACACTTCCCGGCTGCTGACACCGGGACACAAACAGCGGGGGTCGACACTGACCATATTTCTTGACCTAAGGGCGGCATTCGACTTTATCGACTGTGAGTAGTGGCGGTATCTGGCTGTAAAAGAGTGCAGAGCAAGGATGATGCCAATCATAGCTTTCTACTCGAACTCATGCAGCCATGTCAGGGTTAATGGAGAGTTTTCATGTGATTTGACGACAACTAGTGGTGTCTGGCAGGGACTCATTTTCACAGTTCCTATTTAACTTTGTTATAAACGTACTAATGAACATATCTCTTAGGCACTTCTGACTTCACAGGGATTGATGTACTCCTTGGGATTCGTCTGGTTGACCTGGACTATGCAGACGACATTGTCCTGCTTGGTGGAGACGCTGACAAAAGACGCAGGGCCTTCTCAACGTGTTGAGCAGAGATATGAGCATGTTTGGGATGTATTTCACTGGCACCTGTCAAATTTAAGATGGTGCTCTACGACTAACCTGCTGCAAGTACTCCCAGTTTAATGGTAGGGAGTGAAGTGGTGGAATGTGTCGACCACCTGACTTACTTGAGGAGTTGCATCAGCCGGGACGGGCTGGATACTGACGAAATCCCAACTCGGATACAAAAGACCCATTTGGCATTTGCTAACTTGCATCACCTGTGGCGCCTACTGGCGAGATATCTGACTATCTATCGAACGACAGGTGTACTGTGCTGCAGTCCGTTCTGTCCTGTTGTATGGCTGAGACATAGGCATTAAAAGTAGAAGACATGAAGCGGTTAGAAGGTTTTTATCATGGATGTTTTCGTAGCATTGTTCGCGTTTGTTGGAATCACCGTGTGAGCAATGCTGAAGTCAGGAGAAGTGTACCAGACAAGACAGGCAAGTCGATTGATGAGGTCGTGAACCTTAACCTTAGTCGACTGAGATGGCTTGTACATTCGTTGTACATGCCAAGCCACCACCTGCATGGTGGTGTTATTCTAGGGAAAGTCGGATTAGGTTGAGAGGGAGTTCAGGGTGACTAGACTAAGATGTATCACCAGTCGATAAAATCTCTAACTGTTGATCTGTGTCGTGTGGTGGTGGTGGGGGTCTGCTGGGCTGGGGTCGTCAGGACGAAAGGAACCGATCTTTGGAGATATTGTTGAAATTCGGTTACAGTGGGGTAAATGTTTTCACTCTTTGACATCTTCTGAAGCGTGAATATTAGCACTAAACGTTCTCTTCAGATTGTTGTTATGGTACGTCTTATTTTTTTCTCATATGGCTGTGTTTCCAGCGAGGTTTTGTTTTTGTATTTCTGTGATTTGTAGCTTGAGGGAATGCAGCTATTTGTGAGGTTCTGTGTTGATTTCGTCATTCAGTAAGGGTGTGACGTCAGGCTGACTCCTTGCCTATCGCTGTTTGTGATGCTTGCGAATGCTCTTGGTCAAGCTGCGTTTTACGTGTTATCACTCTTCATTGTGATCAGATCCTGCGGGCATGTCTTTTGGCAACCATCATTTCAAATGATTGTGCAGAAATTCAATAACGTTTGCTAACTTTCAGGCGTAGGTTACCAAATGTCTCAACAGTTGTTCCTGTAGCAGAGTTAATAGCACGCCAGCTATCATCAGGATGAGCACTGTCATGTCAAGATAAATGTTTTGGTAACTAAATGCTGCTGTCTGTCACCCACAGGATGAGAAAACGTGGATCCAGGAATAACCCGCATCAGTAACTGTTATGATTACAGAAGGTGAGCACGCTATTCACACCACTTATCTGGGTGATAAAACAGTGAGACAGACAAGAGGTGTGTAACTGGTTTCCGCCAAGTTGCGATAATCCATATACCGATGAAATATCCGACTGGTTACTTAAGGTAGAGTGTTTTGCATGACAATCCACTCAAAGACTAAGACACCCACTCTATGTACAGGACTTTACAATGTCTGATGTATTTGCTGTGTTGTCTTCATATCATCAGGTGCGTAAACGGAAATCCCCTACTAATCGACGAAGACGTTATTGGTGAACAAGAACGGTTAAATCAAGATATTGACAATGGACTGGTGAAAGTTAGACTGTTGATAACTTTAGAGCACTGGACAGGTGTTCCGTCTTAGTATTAGGCCCCCATCAGTGTGCAAAAGCCGGCGTCGGTCCGTGATGAATAATGCCATGAAACTAGTCCCTACAAACCATCAGTTAGAAAGACCAGTTAGTAAGGTTGTGATTATGCACCTAACAATGTGTTCGGATTTTTGGTACTGCCTAGCACAGCACAGACGAAATATAACTTAATTTCTAACTTCCATTCTGTACAACAAAGTAGTGATGAACTACAAATAACTTTTAAAGAGAACAAAATTTTAGAGAATTACTTTCTTATTGAGTATGAATATTGTTAACATGAAAGATTCATCGGAAGGAAATCAAGCCAGCATCGATCAGTTTCATCAATTTTGAAGCTATCTCAGGATTGTTAAAGTGCTCACGAAGTGCAGTGGGGTCTGACATTTGATCAAGAATAACACGCATAGCTGGATCAGATAAGATTGAAGCTATTTCAGGATCGTTCACAGCACGTTTACGAGCAGCTTCCGGGTCATCGTCATTTGAATATGACTGCATAAGACCTTCACTAGCCTCAGTACAATCCGAATCCAGTTCAAGAGCTTTCCTAGAGAGAATGAAAATGAGATAGCGTACTTACAGATATTATAAATGCTTATGATTGAAAGAATCGCTACTCATAATATAGCAAGTGACGCTGGATGACAGCTTATTGATATAGAAGTCATCTTTTCTTCTGCATTTTGTGTATCGTTTCAGCTGACAACTCTTCACCTCGTTTCCTGGCAGCTGCGGATTTAAGCAAAATGTAGCTCAGAAAAGCCACATAAACAGTTACATACGTCATAACATGGGAGTTGTGTGCGTACAGTGTGGCATTTCACTCAGCATTCAGTTATTTTACTTGGTATTCATTTTCTCGAAGAATTAGCTCTGCAAGCATGCGCAACTGAAAGCACGGAGCAGTAGTGAGAATCATGAAGTGTTCCAACTGATTCTTACCAACCAGTTTTGCATTGTTGCTACTGCATCCAAAATTTGACAGATATTAACACGGGGACTAAGTAACGAGTAGAGCCGACTAGAACTACTTTCCCATGCAGAAGGAATAATCACTACTAGTCCACAAAGCATGAAGTGAAAAAAACTTGACACCACATCAGTACCCACTCAACTGGACAGCCATAATCGAATACTGATACTGGTTTGGCCAAAAGTGAAAACGAACTATAGCGCAAGGCTTAATCGACTATTGTGTCAGGTGGTATTAATGACTGCTACTGCATGAACGTGTAAGCGGATGCTAAGTAATTTTTACGCAATGTAAATTATAATACGCTGCTAAGTATAAGATTTAACTTACCGGAAAGCTTTTCTTGCTTGAGTGAAATCTTTCATTGCGTTGCACGCAGCTCCTTTCCTGAGATAGCCTTGATAAACTTCGGATCCAGTTCAATGCATGTATTGCAGTCACTGACCGCCAGAGAAAATTCCATCAACTTGGTGTAACACGCTGCACGATTGCTATACAGTTTAGCATCTGATGGGTTTCTTTTGATTGCCTCGCTATAATGCTTTACAGCCTCTGGATAGTCGCCTTTCTGGAAAAGTTCATTCCCTTTGGTCTTCTCAATCTCTGCCTGCTCCGGGTCTATGTAAGCTAGCTTCTCCTTTTCCTTTATAAGTTTATCAAGAGCTCGAGCACTCTTTTCAATATCTGGTTGTCTGGATTCCGACAAAGATTTATCGTAGAACTTCTTTGCGTTCGCATAATCTTCTTTCTTCTCAAAAGCGTGAGCTGCACGAGCATAAGCTTTGGCAATAAGCTTATAATCTGCCCTATTTTCTCGCCCTACTTCAACAGCCTTTTCACACACCTCTATACATCGGTCATACTCACGCTTTTCGAAATAAACAGCCGCCTTATTCGTGTAGTACGTTATACATGTTGGGTCAAGTTCTATTGCCTTGTCATAATGGCCGATCGCAGTTTCGAAATCCTTTTTCTTGTAGGCAATATTTCCCTTATCTTTCTCGACGTCTGCTTCTGGACACCCCATGGTAACAATCGAAAACGCAACAGATTCGAGAAAAGTCACTGGCCATCCAAGGCCACCTACTGGCTCAATTTAACAATCAACGACAAAAGGCAAATAGACGTTCAATGCTGCATACGTAATGCATTCCCAGTACTTATCTTTCATATTTATGTGTCAGTGTAAGAATATATTTTTATTTTTCTTCGCCTTGTTTTTCTATTTTGAAAGATTGAATGATTTTTCAATGTGCTGGTTACTATTCTACTTAACAATCAAGAAAAGAGAAAATGTACAGGAAAGGCAGTTTGTCAATCATAGAAGAAAGTTTAAATTCTAACAAATTCTGCTGCATCACATTTATGAGGAATTAATCCAATGCCATCCAACATCAGTAGTGCGAGCGTAGGAACCTGATTATTTTTGATCATCCACGTCTGGTTATTGGGGTTTAGTTCTTATTGCACTGTTTGCCCCTGCAGTGGGCAAGGAGATCTCTTCTGCTTTCCTTTTTTAATTCCAGTGAGATTAGTGCTTTTGTGGTTTGCAACTGTGATGCATGAGTAGACATGTTAGTGAGCTACGGGTTGCTGAGACGACGAGGGGGCTTTTCTTGACCCCTGTCCGTATGCGTACCTGAATGAGAGTGGCGAGATAGCGGTGAGAGATATGTAGGACCCACCTGAGGACTAAATGTAGATGGTAGGTGTTTAATTACCAGAGAAGTGCCAGTGGACTTTGTAGGTGTCTCAGTAAGAGGGATGGTGAGTGATCAATGGAAGAAATTAGTGGTGGGCTAGTGATGTCAGTAATCTCCTGAGTACGCCTGCGGTAGACAGTACGAAGTGGCACAGCTGTTTAACCGTCTCTCGTATGAGTCAACTGAGGGTGTTGTGACTATATCTCCCCCATTATTCCCACAGCTGGTTTTGTTGAAGGCTTTGTATTTTCCCAAAGGGATTGGAGTCTCTCTCGAGTCCCGAAGTGCTGCTGTATGAAGGTCTTCAGGTGCGGCTGTAGGTAGGATTTGAAAACTGTGAGAGAGGGCCAAGTGGCGTGAACATCAAGACGTCCACGCTGAAGCCCAAAGTGACATTCGCACCGGGCACTATTGCTTTGTAAGTAGAGCTAGTGTTCAGGCCGTCCGAGAAGCTGATCTCCAAATCTTTCTTCATAAATGCTTGGGTGATGACACGGTTGCTCAGCTAGTATTGGAATTCCGCCGTCCTTACTTCGCAGGGGGTGATATTGATTGGTTTGCACTCTTCCGGGCTGAAGCTCAAACCGTTTTGTGACGACCAGAATTCTAGTATATGCAAGTTATTTTGGGGTGCTGCACAATCGACCTTTTCCTTTACCATCCTCAACATTTTTGCACCACCAGCGAAGAGAAATATGGGTGAGAAGATTTTGTGTGGAGGTCTTTGATGAGCATGAGGAATGGAAGTGGTCCCAGGATCACTGTTTAGAATACCCCAGATGTCGATAGTCTGCAGTCTGGTCATATTCTCTTTGATTTAGTGTATAACTGCCTTCCAGGTAGACTGAACCAAGAAAGCAGAGGTTCACTTATGCCAGGTGACACGACCTTGTGAAGCGGGTTGGGAGGCAGAGCACCGCCAACTGTCTCAGTTAGGCTGAGAATACTGACACGCTTGTTTCCTGTCGTCCTAGCTATAAGCCCAGTTGTCCTGGGGAATCAGCAAATTGGTGGCACGTGAAGGACCATCACGAAAACCACATTAGGCGGCACGGATAGTGTTTGCCCTGTTAAGAGATTCCCTGATCTCATCGGCGATCAGGCTTCTAATACTTTGGACAGTTTAAGGAATAGGGCAATCGGTCTGTAGCTGCTAGGACTTTCACCATTTCATCCGTGAAGGTGGGTGACAAGATACTTCTCTTCCACTCTTTAGGAAATCTACAAGACCCCAGTGAGTGCATGAAGAGGTTTTTAGGGTCACTTTGTAACCTCCTGGTCAGGTTTGTTTGATAGCTAAGCCTGCGCCTAAGATCTCTTGTAGTGCGGCGATTTTACATTATTTTATGGTTCAGGAAGTTCGACTCCCTGCGTGATGAGTGCCATTTAAATCAAGTCCGCCTTCTGGTCCAAAGTAGTCTCTGGTTCCCGTGTTCTAGTCAGGAGGTTTTCACTGACCGTCATTGTGTTACTAAAGAGATAATTTCTTTCACCTGTGTTCCGTGTTCATCCATTGGGGGACGAGTCCAGTTCACAGGCGATGGTACATTCACGAGATAATCTCCCATGTTCTCACAGTCGACCTTGTTGTAGCGAGGGATGGTTTTAGGTACCTGTGGTTGCAGTCTCCGTCGTAGAGAGAAAGCTAATACTGCACGATCGCTTAGGCCATGAGGCGGTCGGATACATATGTTTTCCGTTAGAATTTTGTCGTTTGTCAGAACGCAGTTCAGGCGTGACGCATCACCGCTTGGACCACAGAGTGTGAAATCGGCCACGTTCTCTAAAACCAGTAGTCTTGAGGGGACTCTTTGATTTCTGACTGAGAGGTTTGGTGCACCCCCTTTTGTGTGAAAGAGGACATGTGGAGTTTTGATGTGGCCGGCGGTGACTGCGGAGGAATTTGCCTAGACTGCCTTGATGACCATTTACTTATGGACAGGGGAGCTAGTGGGAGCCGGTCTATGGCACCGAGCGGGTATTTGATGAGATGAAGAGTGAAGTAGCGCCATAAAGATTCTGGGAGCTGGATAAGAGACACACCATTGGCCCGTCCTGTTTTTAAGCGGGCGCTTACACAGAAGGCCACTCCACTTCTCGCCATGAGCTCTCTGTCCCCTCGCGACGGTTCCATGCCAGCGACACGGATTACTCTGCCGGGGATGTCCGGTGAGTGTCGGGAATCTGTTACGATCACGATGTCAGTGTGCAAGTGCTCACTCAGCGTCCTTATCGCTGCTGCATACAATCGTTGAGGCGTGGTGGCGGGAGGGAACGAGAGGTTCCATATTTCTGTGAAGATGGCACCCAAGCGGTTGGGCCCAGAACCTTCAGTCCTCAAAAGCTGGCTGACTGCAGAGCTCTTGGTAGACGACGTCCCTCTTCTTATTTAGCAGAACTTGGCTTACCCTTACAATGAATACTGAGCCACTCGCGGGTTTTTCACGTGACACCACGCCAACAGGACATCTGGGGGGAGGTATGAGGGCCAAGTTGGATGGGAGGTGGTCTGGGTACAGAGGTCTTGGCAGTCTGCCAACGCCTTGGTCGGCGTATTGTTGGGATCAACCTTAGTTAAAAGTCACACCTACTTTCGAACACCAAGGAAATACCCATCATCAGCCCGGTGGTCGCCTGGAAGTTCTGGGATTCCACATGTGACCGTCATGGTGTTTCCATTTGGATTGAAAAGCGAGGAGTTTCTCTCCCCATCCCTTAACGACTACGCAGTTTGCTTTGTTGTAGCAAAGAAGAGGGTGAGACCCCTCCAGTGATAATTGTCCACTGATTGCTAGGTGAAATACTACCGTACCGTGACGGTGATGCCAAGAGGGGTTCGAAAATGAACGTCTGCTGGCATATGGTAGCTCGTAAGAAGGTGGTCTGGTCAGGAAGTGTCATCGCCAACATCTTACAGCCCAGTCTTTTCAATGGCATTGAGTTGACCCCGGCCGAACATCCGGTTTGAGCTCACCCTGTTCTGTTCAGGGTTGACCTAGTCATGCTCCATAGTTTTCACAGCGGATGGTACTTGGAGCAGTTGTTCAATCTATTCCACGTTGTTGGAGGGGGTTTCATATATTGCGTGGTGTATCCGGTCGTGAAGTGGTACCAAATGGAGTTTAGGAGCCCTAATAATACAGTCTCAGCAGCTCGTTCATTTTTGAGATGGTCACTCACAAAACACTGCCACTCTGCCTCCATCCTTGTGTTCCCTGAACAGAAGCACACCGTCAGTACTATGTTTGACATCACCAATATCCGGTTATAGCTGTGCTCCTATCAGGATTATAACCTCCGAAGCAAGGCAGGAACGGAGGGACTGAGGTTCAGCCATGGTACCCCTAAATCTCTTGATCTAGGTGCAGAGAGATGTGGGGTTGCTGCTTAAAACATGTAGTATTCTGGTGGTGGCAGAGTGTAGAGGGTCGTGTGTATTCTTGGTAGCTGTTACTGACCGGTCAGTTTCAGTGGGACCAACGTGTCAGGTTTCCCACTGTAGCTTAACCGCAGCGGTGGTAGCCTTATCATGAAGGTAGATCGTCACTTTTTGCTGTCGAAGTGTCCTAGGTTCGCTTTCGCGACGGTGATCGTTCCCGATGATGTTTTCCCTAACCGTGTATCATGTTTGCAGTGCTTTGGTTAGGGCATCTGGGCATCGGAAGTTAACAACCAGCAATTCGGGTGGCGCCATCGCTATCTAGTGTGGAGGACCTGGGGGCCTGGAAGCCGCTGCTGCTACTATTCTATTTGGCTCCACCCTTACTGACAACCACAGCCATTGTTTGATATCGGGAGCACACGTATCAGCTTATGTGCCGGCTATTAGTTCCGGTACGTTGTAGATAACGACGGTCGCTGGTTTCAATGTACGGGGAGCTCAAAATTGATAACCAGTGGGTGTGGCAGCGAGAGGAATCTGTCAGCCTCCCCAACCGAGCTCAGGGTTACACCCGTTATCAAGGACTTTTCTGGAGGTGAATGGCTGCTTTCGTAGATCGGCCGTGTTTTCTACCTGCGCCACCTGATCCTTCGAATCAGCGATGCAAATCCACCTGGCACAAACGTTGCGCCACAAAAGGCATCCCTTTCGCCTACCGCTGGACTATACTTGTAGCCATCGTCCCCATGTGCAGAAGGCCTCCTTTGGCAGCTTTCATGGGCAGACTAGGGTCCTGGCTGGGTGTGCCAACAGGGCATGCTCCAGCTGAACGAGGACAGGTAAATTCTGAGTGTTCTGTGGGACAGGAACTAGGTTTTTAAGAGAATTGACAGCCGTTACTGTTCAAGTGAGGTTAACTCGTGGTCCTTCAAGCCACTTTTA